ACTTCTTATAAAGTGGCCTGTTCACTAGGACGAATGCATACACATTCATAAAGATGTACGTGGAGACCTATTGGAAGCACTCATTAAGAAAGCTAGGGAGATAGAATATGAGGTATGAACATGTCTGGTACCAAGCAATATATTTGCGGTAGCCATAATGATCATAGTCACAGAGCCTAACATCAAAAAAGGGGGAAGGGTGGCGCTAGCTGATCAGTAAATATGGTGGTGGTCACTAAGGTGAATCGCTCAATTCTTCAGAAACAGCAATATGAAATTTGACGGCTCGTGATTTTTCTAATTTTTATGAGGGATTAGATCTTTATCTTGAAAAAGATAATAATGAACGTCTAGACAGATCATGCTTCTACCTTTAAATATATACGATTCGCTCAGCCTATTGTTGAGATGCGACCACGTGCGCTCCGCACAGATTTATGGGGCGTCTTACAAATTAACTGCTGTCCATTGTCGGTTCTTTGAATACCACTTCACAATGTCTCATCTCGTTTGTTTTCTAATAACGTCTTTACTTGATCCTCATTACATTCCATTAAAGCTAACATTTTATAGCTCTGTATGAATTCGATTAGACTCATTCTATTCCTATTCTCTGTAGGGTGCGGTTGTGCACCAAATGCACGAAAAGGTATAAAACAAAGACAACCGGCATGAGGATAAATGTATTAAAACCAAAAGTGGACATCATGATAGTAAGACCTATACGGGTAGCATTATAAACTGCAAATGAACGTTGTCAGCCTAGGAATTTTCCTTTATGAATGCATCTATTGATGATACTGGCACTTACCTATTTTATTACACTTTAGTGATTCACCTTAGCACTTCTGCTCTTCTAAAACAGCTTTCAATCCCTTGTAAATGTTATACTTGCCTCAATATTGGTTGGTTATCGTATGCCTACAACCACGGGTTGAAAACGAAACGAAGTCGATTTTCCCGCTCAACCTGGAGGACAACTGTACAATTCAATAATTATACAGACTGGTTCAGCTTGGCGACAACCTGTACTTGATCGTAAATTTCTCTATCAGCTGTTGTGCAGTACCTGTTTCTGTTTCAGAAACTGAAGAATATGGTTGATATCGAATTCATGATTGCTTCTGCACTTTTTTGTGGCGTTTCGATAGCTAAAAGTTAGGGGAATGCATAGATGCAAGCGAAGATTAGTGTTCACAAATGGTCAGAAACTGCAACATGTTTTACGATCACTTACAAAATTCACTGTTTTCTGCCAAAATTTTCAGCTGAGTTAAATGCACACTACAACATTTCAGTACTTTGGTGGATTTGAAAACCATCCTCGTGATCAGGTACGTAAGGACATCTGAGGTGTACTTTATTTTGTCCTATTATTGAGTTTGGTTTTATAAACTTCCGATATTTGTTAGTGTCCTGACGCCATATTATTTGCGTTTGTTCAAAGTCAATTCGCAGAATTATATTGGAATGGAGTAGAAGCAGTGTTCGACATCTATTGAATCTATGGACGTAAGGTTTAGAAGCAGTTGCTATGCTCACTTAATGAGGATTCATCGATGTCTGCAAGTAAGGTCTTCGAGTCATATTCCTAAATGCCTTTGAAAGCAAACAAAATCTTCAGAAGCCGTAAATGGTGAGAACAGGAGCCCAAGATCCTCTACTGCGAGACATATTATAGAGGCAGGACATAAAAATGACGTTGGTACATCTTCAAACATATCTGTAACACGTGTTTGGATTGCACAATAAAGTTTGTGGAAGACAAAGTGTTGCGTACTGGTTGAGTAATTAATAGTCCTGACGCAAGAAGGTGGAAATCAGAAAACCACCAGGTTCACGATGATACTTGTGCTTTGCCGAACAAGGAAAATCAATGTCACACCAGTTGTCAGCTACGATTCGTAAACCGTCAATGCCCAGCTCTTGCTACTCTGGGACTCACGCTGTTCCTTGAAGTTTCTCAGAAACGCTTAGTAATAACGGACGCGAAACCAAAACACCGATTGGATACTCGAGAATTCTTTATTGTAACACCAATATATCACACTTTGAAATTAGGCTTTAACTAAGGTCTATGGACAAATATTACAATAATAAATCATAATATTACTTCTGACAGTTTTTGTCTGAGTTCCTTCTGAAAACCGACCGATGAGACGATGACTGGTATATCGATGTCTCCGCGAAAATATAGGGAAGTTGGGTTTGAGCAAATAACCATGAATTGATTGTTCAATCTTCAACTACATTGACACTCCCCGGCAAAAAACGCATCCATCCCCTTTTTACCATCACGACTAATACACGTTGACCTGGATGCCATTGCGAGAACCTGGGTCACACGAACAGGGCTGAAATGAAAAACAAACAGAAAAGCCAACACACCACAAGCATACCCACAGCACAATCTCACATCAATGACGACCTGCGCCTCCAGACAGAGACCTCTTCTTGACAACTTGCAACACAATCGCCACTTGCTAGAATGACTCCTGCAGAACGCAACGTGATCATAGCAGCACCTCATGATACTCTTCGAACATCCTCTTATCTGCCCACTACCAACTACCACTATGATCGCTTGTCACTCATTATGCCTCAGTTCTAGTAACGGTGACGTATGCGAACCTCAGTCGTTTACACTCTTTCTCCCCGGCGTGTCGGACCGCAGCTAACAATTATCTCCGTATGCATTTCATTCTCAGGAATAGTCTCCCCGGCGTATATGACCCACCTGCTGTCTCTAACATCAGTCACTTCATTCACGGATGTAGAAGAGTAGAAACAACTTCAGAAGTAATCACGACGAAAATTTTAACAAAATTACGCAATAACAACAAGGTACGAAAACAACGAGTAAACACAATTAATCCAAAATCACAAATTGAGAAAACAAACCACACGTATACACAAACGGTACAAATAACCTCGCGGATCATGTCTTGGTGGAATTCCTTTGAAGAATCGCAGGACTTACACCAGTACGCCTACAACCCTTCACAGGTCGACGATTGTAAGTTATGGAGTATCCGGACACAAACAAGATCAACCAACAATTACAATAATTAGAACTCACACAATTATTTAACAGAAACATATGTACAATCAACACATCAAAGTGGTGGATTCTACCTTGACGAACTACCCTTGAAGAACCGTAGGACTTACAGCAGTACGCCTACATTACTTCTCAGGTTGATGATCCAAGTGGAAGTCGTCCGGACACAAACAGAATTACCAACAGCTAGATGACAGATGATGTCAATTCAGTATATACAATATGAACATATGTACAAAATCAAACACCAAGCACATTGGACTGCTCATTGATGCGCTGCCCTTTGAAGAATTGTAGGACTTACAGCGGTACGCCTACAACCCTTCTCAGGTTGACGCTCTAGGTTGGAAAATCGTCGCAGAGTTCATTTGCTGATTCCCCTCTATCAGCTATATCCTCAAATCTGAACGGTAACACGCTCATGTCATTGTATCGTAGAATATAGATGACGAGCAAACACACGACGTATCTGGTCAACCAAGCGTAGGCACAGAGTAATTTACACCAAAGATAATAACATTCAAATAGTAACTTGAAACTAGAAATGCCTTTATTCATGCAAGTCAATTTAACAATTACTCTCTCGTTTACACCTGGCTTATCCTCACTAAACTGAGCAACATCTTTCGTCTTTTCAAATGCACCAATACTATCACAGTCATTGCACAAGATACTTGAGTTGATATGCGTCTGTTTCATTGTGGATGACAACGCCAACGACGACTGATTGATACCAGTTGATGAACTTAGTGGTGGATCAGAAGCTATTGTTGTTCGGATTTCAGAGAGTTGTCTAACTGCAAGATTACCACCACTGCTGTCTTTTACTATCAGCTCCGCTTTAGCACTATCATCTGATGATGGGTGGGCTACACGCTGATGAATTACACTGACGGTCTCACAAGTATCCATAACTTCTGCAACTGCATCTGCATTCAATTCTACATCACGTTGTAGTTGTACAGAACCTTGGTTCAACTTAGCAGTAGTAGGCATTCCCCTCATTTCATCATGATCAACCAAAGACAAATCTGCACTATCATGATCATTATCACAAATATTCAATTTACCATAATCTATCTGGTCGACTTCATCATTTTCGAACTCTTAAATAACAGAAGTAGACAATTTTGGTTCTTCCTCACAAATCCCTAAAGATTTTATACCTTCACTCTGACTAGTAATACCTTGTAAACTTGTGGAGTCAGAACTGCACTCTGAAGCAGTAACAATATTCTGTGACAAGGTTATGAGAATTATTTGTGATACGTGGTCTGCCAATAATATTCCAATGTTTCCCTGATATAACAGTAATACCAGAGGCGGTATCTAGCTGCAGACGTGTATCATGACCATTCATCTGAAGATCAAGATATTTCCGCATACCTGGTGTTGTGACTCGACAGGTTGCGACTAGACTCATTGACCATTTTGGGGATTTAGGACCGACAGTTGTTCGAGCCTTCGCTGGATTATGACATCTGTGTTTGAGTGACTGACAAAAACCATTTTTATGACCGATGATTTTGCACTTGCTGCAACGATGATTTTTGTATGGACAGGGCTTTACAAAATGCCACGCGCCACAATGCCAGCATGGTGATGGTGGGGTCTTCTTTGCGGTATTTTGTGAGGTTGAACTGGTATGTGTAGGCTTTCGTGGAATATTAGAAGGCGGAACAGGACTGGATGATGAGAGATTTTCGCTCTTTCGTAATGCACGAATATCAGAGCTTCTCGGAAGTGTTGATTCGGCCGGGTGTGTGTCTTTCTGCAAACTAATCAGCCGTTGATATTCATCAGCTATGTCATGTAGAGTTAACTTGGGAGTTTTCTCTAGCTGATTGAGCAGTCGAGTTTGGATATCTGTGAAACGAGGAGATTGAAGACTGCATATGAGAATCAAGGCTTTGAATTGATCATCTGTTAAGGACCTGAGTCAAAATCTCTCACATTCTCGGTTGACTGTGCCAACGTGAGTAAGGAAATCATCATTTTCATTCATTGTCAGCTTGAGGCAACAATAACGTATGCTGAATAATGATGAGTGGTCTCCAAAATGTTCACGCAGCAGCTTTATTGTATCATCGAAACACTTGTCACGTGGTTTGTGGGGTAAAATTAGGTTGCAGTACCGTTCATATTCTGCGGGACCCAATTTACGCAATATCACTCGCACCTTCCAAGCATCGTCTTGTGAGGCGAGATCAACTGTGAATAAATCCTCATATCGTTGATACCATGTGTCAAAAGTGACATTAGCCTCTGGATCATAATTGAACTGTGAAATACTGTTCACAATGCCGTCGACAGATGGTAGCATGGTATGATTCAAACTGCTTGAAGGTGAAGTTGAACCAGTCTGTTGGTTGACGAAAATTTCCATTAATTTCACTTGTTGTTCAAATAGTAATTCCAATTTAGAAGAATCCATAGTTTTCCCCGTCGCCAAACTATTGTTATGTACTGGTCGAGTAATTAATAGTCCTGACGCAAGAAGGCGGAAATCAGAAAACCACCAGGTTCACGATGATACTTGTGTTTTGCCAAACAAGGAAAATCAATGTCACACAGGTGTATGAGCGAATGTTCAAAAACGAACGAATCAATAGACAGTCTTAACATGATTGGTTGTAATGTCATGTGCCAACAAGGAAAGACATGTTTGTTTAGCTAGTGAACAGACAAAAACATATTTTCAATTATAATGGAATATCGATCCATATATACATAGCAAAATATAACAGACTGTTAAAGCCTAATTTGAAAGTGTGATATATTGGTGTTACAATAAAGAATTCTCGAGTATCCAATCGGTGTTTTGGTTTCGCGTCCGTTATTACTAAGCGTTTCTGAGAAACTTCAAGGAACAGCGTGAGTCCCAGCGTAGCATGAGCTGCGCATTGACGGTTTACGAGACGTGGCTGACAGTTTGAGATTGTGAAGTTTTTTCTGACCACCGAAATATTTTCTGACTAATTCAGATAGCTGGTAACATTTGGGATATTCAACATTCATCCTTCCTGGTGCCGGTCAAGTCCTCTTTGAACAAGCAATATCTGGGACGCTTTTGAAATTGAGTCAAGTTCAACAATGCCTGGGTCAAAGAAGGGACAGAGTGTCTTGGATGCAAACAGGAAAGTAAGTCATGTTGACTTGTCTGTTAATTGTAATGATGTGTCTGATGTTAAGCATGACATGGTTGATGTTACTGTTTCGCCGTTCAGGGATAATAGGAACATCAAACTCCCTAAATTTGAACCACGGTGTTTCGACGGAAACCCAGCTGATTATTTACAGTTTGTAAGGGAATTTGAAATCATGTTGAGTGGCTTTTTATTAACTAATGGAATGAAGTTAATGTATTTGATGAGGTATTGCACTGGAGCTGCTGCAAGAGCTATACAGTGCTGTAAGTTTATGAAGCCAAAAGCGGGCTACTACGAGGCTATGAGCATATTACGTCAAAGGTTTGGAAGACCTTCGATGATTGCAGGGAAATTATTCGAGGCTGCTAAGGGGAATGGTGGTCAATTACAGGATGACTCCCAGGCACTCACTGAGTTTTTGGATAATTTGCTGATATACAAGAATGCATTGATTTCGATGAATTGCATGAGTGACCTCAACTCGAGTTTTATACTAGAAGTAATAGCAAGACGCCTACCTACTCGACTGCAAAGGAGGTGGGTGAAGATAAGCTCCCGCATGGAGGATGAGGGTATTGAGCCAAAGTTTGATGATATCCTGAAACTAGTAAAAAATAGCGTCAATCTATCTATGAGCAAGTTTGCCAGTATATTGAATCTCACCCGTAGAATAGAGCAGTCTGAGAGCAAAATGCAATCATTGACGACGAGTAGGCCTCAGAGAGGTGGATATCGAGAAGGCTCTATGATGTCTAGTAATGCATATAGACCTAGTGAGTGTAACAGGTTTCGTAGTACATCCTCAACAGATAAGTTGCAAGATGCAAGACAAACACGGTTGTGTTTTACACGTTTGCAAGAAGTGCATACAAAGGTGAGCTGGGAATCAGTGGGCAAGTTCAGTGATAAGCTAAATGTAAACTCCAGGCCTGACTCCAAATTGTGTGACGATAACGCTGCGGTCAAGAAGTCTGTAGTTGCAACTGGTAAGCCATAGTTGAATAGAGTGTCACAGAATATTGTTACTGCTTCAGAGTGCAGTTCTGACTCCACAAGTTTACAAGGTATTACTAGTCAGAGTGAAGGTATAAAATCTTTAGGGATTTGTGAGGAAGAACCAAAATTGTCTACTTCTGTTATTTAAGAGTTCGAAAATGATGAAGTCGACCAGATAGATTATGGTAAATTGAATATTTGTGATAATGATCATGATAGTGCAGATTTGTCTTTGGTTGATCATGATGAAATGAGGGGAATGCCTACTACTGCTAAGTTGAACCAAGGTTCTGTACAACTACAACGTGATGTAGAATTGAATGCAGATGCAGTTGCAGAAGTTATGGATACTTGTGAGACCGTCAGTGTAATTCATCAGCGTGTAGCCCACCCATCATCAGATGATAGTGCTAAAGCGGAGCTGATAGTAAAAGATAGCAGTGGTGGTAATCTTGCAGTTAGACAACTCTCTGAAATCCGAACAACAATAGCTTCTGATCCACCACTAAGTTCATCAACTGGTATCAATCAGTCGTCGTTGGCGTTGTCATCCACAATGAAACAGACGCACATCAACTCAAGTATCTTGTGCAATGACTGTGATAGTATTGGTGCATTTGAAAAGACGAAAGATGTTGCTCAGTTTAGTGAGGATAAGCCAGGTGTAAACGAGAGAGTAATTGTTAAATTGACTTGCATGAATAAAGGCATTTCTAGTTTCAAGTTACTATTTGAATGTTATTATCTTTGGTGTAAATTACTCTGTGCCTACGCTTGGTTGACCAGATACGTCGTGTGTTTGCTCGTCATCTATATTCTACGATACAATGACATGAGCGTGTTACCGTTCAGATTTGAGGATATAGCTGATAGAGGGGAATCAGCAAATGAACTCTGCGACGATTTTCCAACCTAGAGCGTCAACCTGAGAAGGGTTGTAGGCGTACCGCTGTAAGTCCTACAATTCTTCAAAGGGCAGCGCATCAATGAGCAGTCCAATGTGCTTGGTGTTTGATTTTGTACATATGTTCATATTGTATATACTGAATTGACATCATCTGTCATCTAGCTGTTGGTAATTCTGTTTGTGTCCGGACGACTTCCACTTGGATCATCAACCTGAGAAGTAATGTAGGCGTACTGCTGTAAGTCCTACGGTTCTTCAAGGGTAGTTCGTCAAGGTAGAATCCACCACTTTGATGTGTTGATTGTACATATGTTTCTGTTAAATAATTGTGTGAGTTCTAATTATTGTAATTGTTGGTTGATCTTGTTTGTGTCCGGATACTCCATAACTTACAATCGTCAACCTGTGAAGGGTTGTAGGCGTACTGGTGTAAGTCCTGCGATTCTTCAAAGGAATTCCACCAAGACATGATCCGCGAGGTTATTTGTACCGTTTGTGTATACGTGTGGTTTGTTTTCTCAATTTGTGATTTTGGATTAATTGTGTTTACTCGTTGTTTTCGTACCTTGTTGTTATTGCGTAATTTTGTTAAAATTTTCGTCGTGCTTACTTCTGAAGTTGTTCCTACTCTTCTACATCCGTGAATGAAGTGACTGATGTTAGAGACAGCAGGTGGGTCGTATACGCCGGGGAAGCTATTACTGAGAATGAAATGCATACGGAGGTAATTGCTGGCTGTGGTCCCACATGCCGGGGAGCAAGAGTGTGGACGACTGAGGCTCGCATACGTCACCGTTACTAGAACTGAGGCAAAATGAGTGACAAGCGATCATAGTGGTAGTTGGTAGTGGGCAGATAAGAGGATGTTCGAAGAGTATCATGAGGTGCTGCTATGATCACGTTGCATTCTGCAGGAGTCATTTTAGCAAGTGGCGGTTGTGTTGCAAGATGTCAAGAGGATACCTTTATCTGGAGGCGCAGGCCGTCATCGATGTGTGAGATTGTGCTGAGGGTATGCTTGTGGTGTGTTGGCTTTTCTGTTTGTTTTTCATTTCAGCCCTGTTCGTGTGACCCAGGTTCTCGCAATGGCATCCAGGTCAACGTGTATTAGTCGTGATGGTAAAAAGGGGATGGATGCGTTTTTTGCCGGGGAGTGTCAATGTAGTTGAAGATTGAACGATCAATTCATGGTTATTTGCTCAAACCCAACTTCCCTATATTTTCGCGGAGACATCGATATACCAGTCATCGTCTCATCGGTCGGTTTTCAGAAGGAACTCAGACAAAAACTGTCAGAAGTAATATTATGATTTATTATTGTAATATTTGTCCATAGACCTTAGTTAAAGCCTAATTTCAAAGTGTGATATATTGGTGTTACAATAAAGAATTCTCGAGTATCCAATCGGTGTTTTGGTTTCGCGTCCGTTATTACTAAGCGTTTCTGAGAAACTTCAAGGAACAGCGTGAGTCCCAGAGTAGCAAGAGCTGGGCATTGACGGTTTACGAATCGTAGCTGACAACTGGTGTGACATTGATTTTCCTTGTTTGGCAAAGCACAAGTATCATCGTGAACCTGGTGGTTTTCTGATTTCCACCTTCTTGCGTCAGGACTATTAATTACTCAACCAGTACGCAACACTTTGTCTTCCACAAACTTTATTGTGCAATCCAAACACGTGTTACAGATATGTTTGAAGATGTACCAACGTCATTTTTATGTCCTGCCTCTATAATATGTCTCGCAGTAGAGGATCTTGGGCTCCTGTTCTCACCATTTACGGCTTCTGAAGATTTTGTTTGCTTTCAAAGGCATTTAGGAATATGACTCGAAGACCTTACTTGCAGACATCGATGAATCCTCATTAAGTGAGCATAGCAACTGCTTCTAAACCTTACGTCCATAGATTCAATAGATGTCGAACACTGCTTCTACTCCATTCCAATATAATTCTGCGAATTGACTTTGAACAAACGCAAATAATATGGCGTCAGGACACTAACAAATATCGGAAGTTTATAAAACCAAACTCAATAATAGGACAAAATAAAGTACACCTCAGATGTCCTTACGTACCTGATCACGAGGATGGTTTTCAAATCCACCAAAGTACTGAAATGTTGTAGTGTGCATTTAACTCAGCTGAAAATTTTGGCAGAAAACAGTGAATTTTGTAAGTGATCGTAAAACATATTGCAGTTTCTGACCATTTGTGAACACTAATCTTCGCTTGCATCTATGCATTCCCCTAACTTTTAGCTATCGAAACGCCACAAAAAAGTGCAGAAGCAATCATGAATTCGATATCAACCATATTCTTCAGTTTCTGAAACAGAAACAGGTACTGCACAACAGCTGATAGAGAAATTTACGATCAAGTA